AAGAGAGTCAAACTGTAAACAAGTTTTCCTCACAGGGTGGCTATCGAGATCAACGGAATTGGAACGCCAAAGCTGGCACAAACAAAGATGGCGGACGCGCAACTGACAAGAAGTCACGCAACTTGAAGTCACGCGGAGATGGTCACAAGATCCGGAAATCAAGTGATAAGTGCGGAAGTTGCGGTGCATACTACCCCCATCCCGGAGGAAAAACGTCCTGTCCCGCTGATCAAGCTACTTGCCGGGGCTGTGGCAAGTTAAACCACTTTGAAACAGTATGTAGATCCAAAGGAAAAGGGAGTAGCCGAAACAAACGCCGGCCCACAGTGAACAAAGTGAGCAAGGACGAATCAAGTGACGAAGGTGAAGTATACACGTTCTCCCTGAGCACGAAGACCCTGAAGGATCAGCCTCTCTTCAAGACCAAGGTACATGACATGCCAGTAACGATTATGGCTGACTTTGGAGCGAGCATAAATATCCTGGATGAAAAGGAATACCGCAGGTTACCCAATTGTCCCAAGCTTGAACCGAGTAGTGTGAAAATTTACGGCTACCAGTCAAAACATCCCCCTTGGCGTCCTTGGAAAATTCAGTACCACGTTTGAGTCGGAGACGAAGAAGCTGCGCGCCAAGTTCTATGTGGTGAAGGGATCCAGTGGCTCCTTGCTCAGCTGGAAGACTTCACAAGATCTTAGTCTGCTTCAGACAGTTTAGCAAGTCAAACTCCTACCGTCGAAACTGGAAGCAGGAACACCTTCGGGTCTATTTGCATAATATGACGACCTGTTTCATGGGCAAGGCAAACGTAAGAACTATTAGCTAAAATTTCACATCGACGAGGAGGTACCACCCGTCGCACAGCCGTACAGAAGAGTCCCATTCCATGTTCGTAAGCAGCTAGAGGAGCAGCTAATACGCGACGAAGAGTTAGGCGTGATAGAGCGTATCGAAGGCCCTACGCCTTGGGTGTCCCCAATCGTGGTTGCACCTAAACCGAAATCTCCAGGCAAGGTACGAGTGTGCGTTGACATGCGCCAGGCGAACAAGGCGGTCAAACGTGAACGTCATGTCACCCCCACCGTGAAAGAGATGATCTGAGACTTAAATGGGGCCAGCGTTTTGAGCAAACTAGACCTCAATCAGGGCTACAACCAGCTTAAACTGAATCCAGGTACATCACCAACTTCAGCACACACATGGGTCTTATGAGGTACAAACGTCTCAACTTTGGTATTTCAAGCGCCGCTGAGATCTTTCAAAACGTAATCCGCGAGACGGTTGAGGGTATTGACGGCGCAATTAACATCAATGACGACATACTAGTGTTTGGTAAGACGCTCGAATAACACGACCAGAACTTGAAGGCCGTGTTCCAGCGACTTAGAGAGAAAGTTCTGGCCCTGAACAAGAGCCAGTGCGAGTTCAGAAAAGATAAGTTGGAATTCTTTGGATACATGTTCTCCAAAGACGGCATCTAGCCAGACCCGAAGAAAGTTGCAAATGTCGTCAATCTTCAGACACCGTCAACAGCTTCAGAAGTACGCAGCCATCTGGGGATGACAAACTACTGTTCAAGGTTCATCCCTGACTATGCTACCAAGACAGAGCCCCTGCGTAAGCTCACCCACAAGGACCAACCGTGGTGTTGGACGGAAGAACATGACCATGCAGTCAGCCAATTAAAAGAAACACTTGTAAGCGCACCCGTCACTGCCTACTTTGATCCAGAGAAGAATACAGAGATATCTGTTGAAGCAAGTCCAGTCGGCTTGGAAGCCATCCTCTCTCAAGTGGACTCGAAAACTGGGGACAGTCATGTTATCACCTAAGCAAGTCGCTCTCTTACAGCAACTGAACAGCGGCACAGCCAAACAGAGCGCGAAGCCCTCGCTGTAGTTTGGGCTTGTGAACATTTACACCTGTACATTTACGGGAAAGCGGTCACAGTCTACACTGATCACAAGCCCCTAGCGTCTGTCTATGGTAATCCGAGTTCCAAGCCGCCTGCAAGAATCGGGAGATGGGCTCTACGACTTCAGCCGTACCAGATCACGGTCAAGTATCGAAGAGGAGAAGTTAATCCCGCAGACTATCTATTGCGTCACCCAGCCAAGCTTGGGGCTGAAACGAGCCGGCAACAGAAAGTCGCAGAGGAGTACGTCAGCTACCTCGCAGCCTCCTCTACTCTCAAAGCCTTGAAGACACAAGAAATAGAGAGAGCCACTCAGGATGGTGCAACTTTGCAAGCTGTAGCAGAAGCTATTGTGAAAGGCAGTTGGGACCATGAAATCAGACGTCCCTGCGTCAATGACGTCGAGTTTCGCCTTCTCGAGAGGGTGAAGGATGACTTACCGTAAGGGCGTCTGGCAACCTTACTCTACGTGGGGCCCCGCATAGTTGTCCGGAAGAGTCTACAAGACCACATGGTCAACGTCGCACACGAAGGCCACAAAGGGCTCGTGAAGACTAAATGACTGTTATGAGAGAAAGTTTGGTTCCCGCACATAGATAAGCTGGTTGAAAGCAAGGTGAAGTCATGCGAAGCCTGCCTGATTGCTACTCCTGAGTGCAAGAGAGAACCCTTGCAGATGTCGCCACTCCCAGCAGCGCCTTGGAAAGAAATCAGTATTGACTTTACTGAGATCCCAAACAAAGAGTATCTCCTTCTGATTACTGACGAATACTCCAGGTACCCAGTGGTGAAAACTGTGAAATCAACGGCCGCGACAACGGTCATACCAAAGCTCGACAAAGTGTTCTCAGAGTCTGGAGTCCCTGATGTAGTGAAATCTGATAATGGGCCCCCGTTCAACAGCAAGGAGTTTACAGCATTTGCAGATGACCTTGGCTTCAAGCATCGAAAAGTGACTCCAAAGTGGGCACCAGCAAACGGAGAAGTAGAAAGATTTGTGCGCACCGTAAAAAGGTCATAAAGACAGCAAAGTCGGAGCACAGGAACTACAAGCAAGAGTTAAACAAAATGCCGAGGAACTACCGCGCTACGCCGCACAGCACTACAAGAGTTGCTCCGACGATAGCACTGTTTGGCAGGCTAATGAAGACAAAGCTACCTGAGGTGACGACACGCTGCTCAGATGCTGCTATCAGGTAGCGTGACCAAGCAGCGAAGGCTAAAATGAAGGAGCACACGGACAACAAGCAGTACGTTAAGCCGTCGGCCATCTAAGAAGGCGACATTGTACTGGTCAAGAGAGACGAGACAAAGAAGAAAGGTGACACACCGTATAACCCGATACCGCGGACTGTCATCAAGACCAAAGGGTCTAAGGTCACTGCAGAAAATGCCGAAGGCGTCCCTGTTACGAGAAACTCTTCGTTCTTTAAGAGCGTGCTCGACTTCAAGACCTCCCGTGAAGAGCAAGAGGACTCCTACGGTGATGGTCTTCCGTCGCAGCTCAATGTTGCGCCTGCGAGACGCTCCCCGCAGCGTGCGCGAGCACGTTTGCTGACTATGTTCTTGACTGATACTCCTTTACATGAGAACTCTTCTATAAGGATTTTAGGACTTTTATGGAGCCGGACACTTTCCGTTACTCTATTCCGTATTCAGTTATGTTTACTTTCGGGCATGTTATATTCTTCGTTTGATTCATAGTTGTTTAGCCTCGGTGTGCGGAATGCTCTCCAAAGAGGAGAGGGATGTAGTGTCGTTACCATATCTATATAGTGTTGCTACCGTATATAGGATTGTATTGTGTAGACTAGGATTCCCGGATGTGTGAGCAGGAGGTTGTCAGATCGGTGTAGTAAGCATGTAGATTAAACGTCAGTTATCTATTACTCTGCACTCCTTGTTATAAAGCATCTTTACAGCATCTGAGACATATGCATTATATTGCAGAGTGGCTGAGCGGTTAGAACGCTGGACTTGTAATTCGGAGGTCCTGAGTTCAAGTCCCGCCCTGACCTGACCGCCAGCTGGATTTGTTCACGGTAGTTCCGAGTTCAAATCCTTTGCCACCCTGGTAAATAGCCAGCTGGTTTGCCTCCAGCCAGGGATTCTTAACCCTGTTAATTTCAATTTGAATTAATTGTTTCAGTCATCTGCTCGACCCCACTAGCATAACTGCTATAAATACTGCCGAGGGTAAATATTATTATTATTATTATTATTATTATTATTATTATTATTATTATTATTATCATAATAAGTTACGGTACGGCTGGGAAATAACAGACACGCCCATGACCTGCGCATGCGGTGTTCAATTTAGCGTGGATCACGCAATGGTGTGTCAGCGCGGTGGGTTCGTTATCCAGCGCCATAACGAACTGCGCGACTTGGAAGCAGTGATGCGAAGGATGGTCTGTAATGATGTGGAAGTAGAGCGGGTCCTTCGGGAGGTCACTGGGGAGACATTAAATCATGGCGCTTACAAAGCCCCTGATGCCCGTTTGGATATTCATGCTCGAGGCTTTTGAGAGAGACAGAGATCTGCTTTCTTCGATGTTCGGGTGTGTCACCCTAATGCAGACTCTTACAGAGACTTGACTCCTAAGCAGATCTACAAGAAGCATGAGAACGAAAAGAAGAGGCAGTATGCGGAAAAAGTAATGGACATCGGACAGGGAACGTTCACTCCCCTAGTTGTCACGACCACAGGTGGATGAGTGTGTTAAGTACCACAACAGACTTGCGGAGCTGATCGCAAATAAGAAGGGAGAGAGTTACTAAACCGCAATTTCCTAGATAAGAACTAAAGTCTCTTTCGCCATAGTACGCTCTGCGATACTATGCTTGAGAGGCTCAAGATCCAGAAGACGACAGCTGGAACTTGTTGACACAGATCGAAAACATTAGAGCCTGCCTCAATTATTATTGATATTATTATTATTATTATTATTATTATAGATGACCCCCGCTCAGGTAGCTAATCGGAACGCAGGATTCACTTCATTTTTCCCGCGGAGGATTCAGCCATATAGTAAAAGAAGCTATGAGCGGACTCTAAATGTCGAAGTTATATTCGCAACACTTACTCGAAATTCGCTGTGAGCTCGTCAGTGACATCCGCCTTTGCGTCATCGCAGCGTGTCAACCTCGCCATCAGCTTGTACACCTTTCCTGCTATGAGTGCACGCGCCAGATTCTTTTCCCCTCGCTCCCACATGAAAAGCGCCATTTTCTGCATGTTGCTGAGTACGGACCACAGAAGCAATGCCTCGTAAGGGTCGTCTTCTATGCGTTTTTTCTAGAAAGAGGCGAATTAATTACCTTCTTCTCTACCACAGAACTTAGAAGACTCGAAAATTAAACAAGGTTAGATTGAGAAGCATCCTAGCATTTGAACTTTGTTATAAACTGAACCGTACATATCAATGATTGCAAAATGGCAAAACATTGACGCCCTTTTTTAATTTAGACTGAGTATACGGTAAATAGAACATACAATGATTTTCCCTTGTTGGCTTTGTCGGGAAACATTGAAATTATTTCTCGTTGTACTCTTGAGGGTAGTGTTTCGTCTCTATGAAGGAAGAGGCGTGGGATTTTCCATGCACAGTTTCACAAGTATTTCGACATCTTGGAGAGCCGTGGGCAGTTAGTTGTAACGGGATGGTTATGGGAGAGGTGATTAGGGGCCTTTCTCTCGGGAGTTAGTAAAACACCCACTCGGGGTCGGGGGTAGTGTTCTTAGTTTCGTTTCACAGAGGTTGGGGATCCTGTGCTGCTCTAGGTAACTAAGAGAAACTAGAAACTCATAAGGGCTTAAAACATGTAACTCTAACATGATGTGCTCGTGAATATTCATAGTTCTCAAGTACTATATTTGGAACGAGAAGAAAAGCTAACTGACTAATCAAACTTTGTAAACGACGTGACGAAATTTTACTCCCCGTCAAATTCCTGCGCCCGCTCAAAAAATTTCGAGCTTAGGCAACAAGGACGACGATGGCTACGAAAACGTCACTTTAAAGTTCATTCGCGCTGCTTCAAGATTTATCGCGCTTATTCCATCTCGCTCACTTCGTCAAATGTTATTAACTTTTTCTTAAGTTACATCCTAAAGCCCGCATCGAAATTCAGGAAACGGAAAAGAAAGTCGTTATGTTGTGCAGTTTCGCCCTCCTACAAACGTGGAAGTGGGCACTTTCGCCTCTTAGTTGTTCAGTGACGACAAAAAAAAAAAATTATCAAAAAGCGTGATGCACGTGCAAAGTTGTGGTTACACCTACTGGTTTTTTGAGGTTCTCGTAAACGTCGCCGTCGTCTTAGTTTAAGCTCCCTAATGGCCGAAAGACGGGAGAAAATCCTTATGATAATGACCTGGAGTTTGCAGGGAGGGTCGTAACTTTGACTGGAATTCGTTGTTCCCTCTTTGTAATTACGGAACTTACGTATACTTTATTCGCACTAAGATTTAGAGAATTGAATTTTATTGTCTATTGAACGAATCATTGCAGGAGTTGAGTTCCTACCACACGAGTCATTCTGTCGTCTCCCTGGTAAGTACCCCATGAATGTGGCCATAAGGCTTCTATTACGTGTAAAACGTTGAAGCCTTCGTCGTCAATCTGCAACGAATAGCATTCTCTTATACAAGTGACAGTTTATTATATTAATTAATGCCAGAGTTAATCTGAAATATATGTTAGGGTGTATGTTGAAACACTAAGTCTGTTACCTTCCCTTTTCCAAGTCGTTCTTCAAGAACGACCCTACATGGTAATCCCTGCTTCTAGAGCGGAAACACAGAAATACGATTGGAATGTTCAGAGAATTCAATGTTTAAAATAATAGAGGGTTTAATTTTTACTGAGGCTGTGTTGCTGCGTCGGAACGAAACGCCAAACTATTTGGAATTATTAGAGATGAATTATTAGAAGAGCTCAATTACTCCACTACTGCATTTAAATAAAATTTAGTAATTTCTTCCGTATTTGATTAGCTTATGTTCTCTAAACCTGACTCAATTAACATTTGGAAAGGAAGGTATTTTAGTCGGAAGGACGCTAGTGGTTGTTTAAGTGGATTCTTTAGAGTAGTCCCCTACATGTTTTAAACTTGCAACTCAGCCACCGACTCTGTGGTTGATTTGTTTGAGCCCATTTTAGTGTTGTTTCTGTTGAGCTTTGTGAGGCGGATAGTGATAGTCCTCCTGACAAAGCTAGAGCTAATAGCTAAGCTAGAGCTTAAGATAAGGACCACGGTACAGCGGTGAAACAATTAATTAAGAGACCTTACGATCAGACAACGGTGACGTCCATGAAAACCTCGCTGAAAAATAGACTCCGCATCCTTTAAAACCATTTCAAGATTATTCCAAGTCGCCAAGTTACTTAAAAAAAGGGAATTTATGTTGGAGCTGAAGAGAAGGGGTTGCCCCCGAGTTCAGACGGGGATGGTAGAATTTATCGCCTTGCCTGTCCCGTCCTCAAAACAACTTAAAATTAATTTTGGTCATTTCGCGTCGTAGTCGTGCAGGGACGGCAAAGAAATGTACAAAAAAGCGTGATGCACATGCAGAGTTGATGGTTTGCTAACTAAACCTATTGCTTTTTGACCTTGCCGTCGCCGTCGCCGTCGCCGTCGTAGTTTTGTAAGGTCCCTACTAAGTTAAGACGAGTAATGGCTCCTCGACCGGACAGCGGCTCTGTCGCAGCTCTACATACAAGCAGGATGAAATTGAAAGGGACGTTAGTATAACAGCTCCAGCAGGGGAGGGTGAAAAAATACAAAGGCTCTTGGTCTTCCTCGGTGGTCATTAGTCAAAAATGTGTTTATTTCCGTTAACCCAATGGCAGCAACAGTGAAGGATCCTTTACCCTTTCTCAAGCTAATGAGATTTTTAGCAACTCGATATGATTTTCTACAATAGATCTAGCCTCTGCTTCCTGGCAAGTGGCCGTTGATCACGCCTCTAAGGAAAAAGTACCATCTACTTCATTACTTGGACTTCCGTTTAGACTACCAGTTGAGACTACTAGGTTTATGAGGTCCAAGGCCCTTAGGAGCATTTTTTCTAATTAAGTCATTGGTGAAGGTGTATAATATCAGTTTCAATATGTCACGAGACGGCTGCACAGACACTTGAAGGGTTTAGCATTTGACGAGAACGGCCTGAGTACTCTCCTTCATGACCAATTAATAGTACGGCTGTATTGAAGTGTTGTGTTAGAGCGTTTCCGAAAGCAGATTCAAACGCTTCTTTCCCCAAGTTTTCTCGACTGCACTTCCTTTTGTGGCAACCACCAACCCATCCCTGTACGACTGACATAAGCACTAGCCAATAGTAACGTGAAAACGGGAAAGTTATATTCCACTTGGGCGCTATGGTCTCGCGCTTCGTACCTGAACAGCAATGATTTGGAATTAATGAAGAGAGATAAACCGATTGCTATACAGTCTAGTCTTGTATGATGTACGAATATCTAAGTTGGTCTTACGTCGTCATGTGTTGTACTTACGGTCACTGCCTTGAAAAGGTTATTTAACCGATCTGTAGTCAGGAACTTCCTCATACTGACACCTTTTTCTAAAAGAAGATCTACAAATTCCACACGATTGTTGATTAAAGCGTCCTCCATCTTATCTTCCAAGGTCTTCATCTGTTAGATAAGCCAGCACAAAACAAATGATTAAGATAAACTAGAATGCAACCTTAATCTAAGTTAGAGATAGATATGATTTAACTATGTTCCATCAAAACTGGAAAACACTTGTCCACACGCTGAAAGACTGAGCTTCCATTTTAGTGAATTAGTCTGAAGAAGGATCTTTAGCATTTAACAATTTGTCCGGCTATCGAAGCAAGTATTTGTCAAAACAAACTTGTCGAGTGCCAGATAAATAACAGCCCACTATTGGAGACGTCATGGAGAGTACTTTGCATTTGCGAAATTTTGCTCTTGAAGCAGCAACAATTTTGTATATATGTTTTTTTTTCGGTTNTGCCTTGAAAAGGTTATTTAACCGATCTGTAGTCAGGAACTTCCTCATACTGACACCTTTTTCTAAAAGAAGATCTACAAATTCCACACGATTGTTGATTAAAGCGTCCTCCATCTTATCTTCCAAGGTCTTCATCTGTTAGATAAGCCAGCACAAAACAAATGATTAAGATAAACTAGAATGCAACCTTAATCTAAGTTAGAGATAGATATGATTTAACTATGTTCCATCAAAACTGGAAAACACTTGTCCACACGCTGAAAGACTGAGCTTCCATTTTAGTGAATTAGTCTGAAGAAGGATCTTTAGCATTTAACAATTTGTCCGGCTATCGAAGCAAGTATTTGTCAAAACAAACTTGTCGAGTGCCAGATAAATAACAGCCCACTATTGGAGACGTCATGGAGAGTACTTTGCATTTGCGAAATTTTGCTCTTGAAGCAGCAACAATTTTGTATATATGTTTTTTTTTCGGTTGGGCTATCAACATAGGAGGAAATATATCACTGCGCTAAGTTTTCCCAGCCGCCCTGTTAACTTAACTGTCGTAACTGGATACGCTAAGGGACGGCCTGCCGAGCCGAGGTCGCAGGTTGCGGTTCAAACCTCAAATAATAACAATGAAAAACATCTTTTGCCTTATGATTATTCAAAACCAAAAAAAAAGATGCTGATGATTTAGTTGCAAAATTCTTTCAAAAATAAAAGATTGGCTCTAGAACCCTCGTTTCTTTGATTGAACGGTTTGATGAAAAATGATATTTGTTTATATAAGGTTCCACATGACCGAAACGCTGCCATTGTGATTTCCAGATGTAACTAATCTAGCTCAAATTCTGGAGGGACTTCTGACACCTTTCAACGAAAACAAAGTTAAAGAAGAATTCTCTTTATAAATTAAAAAATGGTATGGATATCAGTTCACTGATAAAACGAGTGGTAAGAGCCCATCTTTATGTTTGACATTGCCAAAACAAGACCTTAACTAAATCTTACGCCGAAGAACGTATATTGCCAATCTATATGTTCTAGGTCATTTTAAGAGTGGTTGTCAGAGAAAACCGGGCAAAATGTTAAAAATGTCAACGGAAGGGGGTCAACAGAATAAGTTCATACTAACATCATAGATAGGTCTGGTGGAGTAATGGACAAATATACCAAACATAGGTAGTCCACTGCTCTTGTATTAGAGATACGAGCATCACTTTATTCGACCCCCTCGGACGCCATTTTTATAAGCAAATTTTAACCATTTTCTGAAACTCACAGGACTCTCCAAATTTAACGAGCGAAGTTTATTTTTTGTATGCGATACAACACATTACAGAACTACTTTCTAAAGCCATAAGATTTGTTAAGCATCCACGGACAAGACTAAAATTTTCTTATTTTATCTGACCTAAACTCAGTGTCTGCAAACGAGCAAAAAATCGGGCATTTTTGAATTGATCTACAGCACACAACTAAAACGACAGAACAACTCTGACAGCCAAATTGCAGTCTACTATCATGCATGTAACCAAAACACTAATAATCATTTTGGGCCATTGAAACAGGAAGAAATTAGAAAACTCACATTTGTTATAGTTTCCAAGCTTTTTCTTGCAAACAGGCCGATCCCTTCGTGTTTGTTTTAAGTCCTCTTCGTGAATTTTCCTTCATATTTCGCTGCAAAGTATGTTCAGCAGCTGGAGGACATATCAAAAAACTCGAAATACTGCCTAGGTAACATTTTGAAAGGGCAAAAAGTGCTGAACGATAGGATGAAACTAGAAAATAACAAAGCGACGCCATCTTGAAAATTCAGCACTCGGGAGGGACTGGCACTAGTAGCCACGTTCGATATCTTCTAAGGACAAAAACTGCAAATTTTTCACAACTCAATTGTCTCGTAATTCCCAAAAGAGACTTGAGCACATAGAAAACCAAACCTAATACAGAAATGTAACCAGAAAGCCTCGGATTCATGTAAGAAGTTTCTTTATCGAACGTTGGCTATTACGAACTATTACCAGGAGCCTATGGGCTCCTGTAATTACCAGTAACATAAAAAACAAAAAACAAACAAACCAGCTTATCAGCGACCTACTCCAGTCTTATTTCTTCTTATTACTTCTTTTAGTTGAATTTAGCTTTTTTTTTTTCAAAGGAAAAAAACAAGAAGAACGCCTGATCGCAGGTTAATAAGCCATTTGCACTAAGAGGTCATGTGACATCGTTTTTATGAAAATGAAAGTTATATGATTTTTCCTTCGAAAAACCATTAGTGGGTCATATCTTAAACAAAATAATAGTCATTTGGTTTTTCAAACCCGCACCATTTACTTAAAATGAATAAGTTCGTAAATGGTCACGTGACCAAAGTGTGATTTTTAAAATTATGAATTGCCTCTCTCTGAACACCAATTTTGCACTTAATCTTCAAGGAAAATGTTGAAAAGATGATGTGATAACGTTTACAGCACATCTGAGCGTAACTATGAAACGTTGAACAAGATATAAGCAAGAAGTAGTTTTGGCCGCCATGTTGGAGGGCAAAAGCATGCCCTCCAACATGGCGGCCAATACAAATCATACTACTTTGCTAAAAAATCAAAGTGCCATAAAATATCTCCCTTAAATGCGTTTCCTCTCAAATTTCGGGTTTGAGATAATTTTTGTGTGCTCTAACAATTTTTGGCATCAGCAAGATTCCAACTCATTGTTTAAAGGAAGCATTGGTCACGTGACCTCTTAGTGCAAGTGGCCTATTGGTGATTAACTGGCATTGTTTCATTCCCTCCTCATTTCGAGGTGTCCCGTGAATGTAGATGTTGAAGATCTATTTTGTCTCTTTATGAATCACTTATCTTCGCTCTTATGGAGGCTAGCTAGACTTGCTATATATCAACCTCGCGAGCTTCTAAGCGTTCGGGCTAACTACGGGCAGTGAATATTGCTTGCTGTAAAATTTGCAATAATTTTTATCACCTAAAATAAACAGTTAAATCAGCGTGCGGAGCGGGCATTTTAGGCCGCAAAGCGGCCAAGACAGCCGACGAAGTAATTGTTGAAAGCCCGGAGGGGGGGGAGGGGTCCGCATATGAAAGTGGTGGGGGTGCTCGTCGTCTCGCTTAGGGGTGTAAATTTCGGTTTTTGGTCTCATTTAGGGTGTTCTGGGCAAAACGCCATCATATTTAGCCGTGAAGGTCTCGTTTAGGGTAGCACGCAAAAAAAGATAAAAATATATATTTGATATGTATATTTTTAATTCGTTTTATTTACTCCATTCATATCATCCAAGTTTTCTCATTTGTCTGTGTTTCAACATGGTCTCTTTTAGGGATCAAAAAAAGCTTGGGCCACGCCCAGATCGGTCTCCTTTAGGGGTTTAATTCAAAATTTCCGACGAGCATCAATTTACTGAATCCAACGATACACACCTGAGACTGTAATAATAACGCGAGTATTTATACAGAATAACCTATCAGTTCTAATAAAAAGAACAGAACTGTTATCAAAAGGGTCCTGTAATTATCTCATAAATTGCTAAAAACTGAAAAAGAAAATCGAAAGAGGAAAATAAAATAACACTACGAAATCTAAGATTCAAAAATCAAAATCTGTAAAAATTATTGGCTTATGAGAGTGAAAAGAGTTTTGAATTATGGAATACTTTTGAAAAACTCTTTTAAATTACTCCTGAAAAGAAACTTAGAATTTAAATTTCTAAAATGCCAAGGTAAAGTATTGTAAACTAAAGCCCCTTGAAAGGCAAAACTTCTCCGAGGGAACCGTATGCGGAGTCCCTCCCGGGTATGAAAGTAAGCCTTCTAACTGATGATCTCATCGCTATCACTTCGCATTTCCATAAGGTAATAGACTGTTAACAAAAGCTGTCAATATAAACCATTCAAAGGGTTTACCAGAATCTGGTTTACCGGAAGGATCCAGAAGGAGCTTTTGTTAAAAAGTACCATTACAGGATTTCCTACGGCTCTCACTCCGTACCCCAACCCCTCATTGTTTTTCCTGCTCACTTCTTTTTCAGTATGCTCTTTGCACGGTCCACACAAGCTAAACGCCATGGGTCCGGACGAAGTTTTTACCTGTGCAACCCGTTTAGAGGGAACGTGCAAATTCTCCATAGATCGCAATACTGTTTGCAGCTCAAAAACTTTACGGTTCCGCGGGTCGCATGTAAAGAAAAGGCGGATCCATGCAAGTTTTTGGCAGTTCAAAAATTTTTAAAAGGGGTCTAAGTGTTAACTCGAGTTTTGACATCTCCTACATCTCTTCGTCACTGGATTTGTAAAGAACACTCTCACTACGGTGTTTAACACAAGCAGAATCATGTTCACAGTCCTCACATTTAGAGTAATTGTCAAGGTCTTGCCTTAAATTCAGAGGAGGCAATGATGACAGAAACGGAATTTATTCATCTGCTACGGAGGTAATTTCCAACGGCATTTCGTCTGTTAATCCTTTCCACGGCGCTGTTGCAAAAAATGCGCGAGCGAGTCACACAAGATGGCACAAAATGTGCTAAAAATAGTACATTTAATGGCTATGATATATATTTCGATGAGGTCAGCCCCATCCCTGGAAAAGGTATCCAGTTACGGTATACTACTCCCATTTATATATCTGTGGCTCCTGGTAGAGTATAAAAAAGTAATTTTGTGCAATTTTGCAGCGTAATTAGCGTTGCTAGATAACTCTGTCAGCCATCAGGAGCCCTTAAACCACAATTAAAAACTAATGTATGAGTAAAGACTACTCATCAATATTAATATTAATCTTGTAAAAATTCTAGAATAAAGCCATTAAAATTGTTGAATGACCTTCTTCACCTCAGACACTCGTGTCAGTCAAGTGTGAATCGACGTCCGCCATTTTGAATTTTGTTCAAAAAAACCTCTGACCTAGCAGCCCGGCTGCATCTTGCGCCCATCATCTGCCCCCAAGGGTTGAGGATCTGGCTCCTTTGTCATAGGAAATTCATAAATTGTCTACTAAAACACTGTGCAATATGGAAGCAAGGCCAATTTAAGCACTAAAAGCTGGTCAGATATCTCAGAATTGGAAGAAAACTAGTAAGAGAAATTGCTCAGAAATCATGCAAAAAGCTGCTCGAAATACTACAGGTTGCCAAAAAGGTTGGCGAGCAACTTGTGGAAAGCTCTAGGGAGAAAGGGAGAAGGGGGAGGGGGGAGGGGTGGGAGGCTACCTAATAAAGCCTTGTTGGGAGAGGCTTCGCCCCGAGGTCCAGTCCCTTACCCTTAAATATACTATTTTTGACAAAAGGTACCCCTTCCGTGTATCTTCCATTAAAAAGTTGTACCCTTTATATCTGCTTCGTGAGAATAAATCGGTAAGAAAGGAGGTCTTACGGTCAATTTCGAGTAACCTTAACATGTAAATGATATTGCCGTAAGGCGTGTTTCTTCGAAGCATTTTAATAATAGGCTCTTTAAAATACTTAATGAAAGATTTTCCTCTCCTTTCACATACTTCAACTTGTGATTTCCTAGCTACCCTTTGATACACCTGATGCTTGAAAGAGGTACCCTTCGGGCGAAGCCTTCTGGACTATGAAACTGTGCATCATGAAATCATGAACAGGAGATGAGTGGACCTTCGGACATGCACGGTGATTGAAGACTGACGCAAAAATAAATTATACAATAAAGAGTCCAAAGAAACGCTAAGTTTATATGGGATAACTCAAAATGAAGTGAATGAAGAGCAGATGAAGACTGAATAAAGTAATGTCAATTGGTCACCTGTTCACCACACTTCATCACTTCGCCGAAAAAAAAAAACGACAACAATTTAACTAAAAGTAGTAATTGAAGAAGAAATAGGACTGTAATAGGTCGCTGATAAGCCGGTTTGTTTGTGTTCGTTTTTTNACATACTTCAACTTGTGATTTCCTAGCTACCCTTTGATACACCTGATGCTTGAAAGAGGTACCCTTCGGGCGAAGCCTTCTGGACTATGAAACTGTGCATCATGAAATCATGAACAGGAGATGAGTGGACCTTCGGACATGCACGGTGATTGAAGACTGACGCAAAAATAAATTATACAATAAAGAGTCCAAAGAAACGCTAAGTTTATATGGGATAACTCAAAATGAAGTGAATGAAGAGCAGATGAAGACTGAATAAAGTAATGTCAATTGGTCACCTGTTCACCACACTTCATCACTTCGCCGAAAAAAAAAAACGACAACAATTTAACTAAAAGTAGTAATTGAAGAAGAAATAGGACTGTAATAGGTCGCTGATAAGCCGGTTTGTTTGTGTTCGTTTTTTATTTGTTTGGTAATTCACTTGTGGACAAGGCAGCTGCTAGTGCCAGTCCCTCCTGAGTGCTGAATTTCCAAGATGGCGTCGCTTTGTTATTTTCTGGTTTTATCCTATCGTTCAGCACTTTTTGCCCTTTCAAAATGTTACCTAGGCAGTATCTCGAGCTTTTTGATATGTCCTTCAGCTGCGGAACATACTTTACAGCGACATGTGAAGGAAAATTCACGAAGAGAACTTAAAACAAATACGAAGGGATCGGCCTGTTTGCAAGAAAAAGCTTGGAAACTATAACAAATGTGAGTTTTCTAATTTCTTCCTGTTTCAATGGCCCAAAACGATTATTATTGTTTTGGTTACATGGATGATAGTAGACTGCAATTTGGCTGTCAGAGTTGTTCTGTCGTTTTAGTTGTGTGCTATAGATCAATTCAAAAATGCCCGATTTTTTGCTCGTTTGCAGACACTGAGTTTAGGTCAGATAAAATAAGAAAATTTTAGTCTTGTCCGTGGATGCTTAAGAATGGCGTCCGAGGGGGTCGAATAAAGTGATGCTCGTATCTCTAATACAAGAGCAGTGAAGAACCTATGTTTGGTATATTTGATGTTAGTATGAACTTATTCTGTTGACCCCCTTCCGTTGACATTTTTAACATTTTGCCCGGTTTTCTCTGACAACCACTCTTAAATCCCTTGCCTATTTATTTACAGACCGAAAGTGACCTAATTTGTTTTACAACGTAGGTGCATAAATGCCAAGTGCTTTGAATTGCTCTCCGCTTCACTACAGGTTTACCGCAAACCTGCACTCTGTGCCCCTTGACAAGGAAAACTGTAGATTGCACTGTTGCTCTGAAAGCGGCGTGGTTCTTATCTTTAGGAAGAGCGCTAGCGGCCACCATTCGTTGGCTTAATTTGGACTGTAGAGCTTACCCTGAAAGACGGTTACTGAAGTCTATTAATAGTTTTCCGCTATTTTCTTACATTTGTACAGGTGTTTGTAACTTTTCTTTATTTGCTCTGCTTGAAAGTTACTATCACCACCAAGAGAAATGTTCCGTCTCTTCCTGGGGATCAGCTAAAGAGGGATTAATTTTACTTCTCGATACTCAGATTGGACTCGTGACAAGACTAACCTTCATCAGCATTTCGCAGCTCTGATTAAAATTCAGTTCTGACTGACCGAAATTTTGGGCAATAGTACTCTATTTTAGCTGTAAGATTAACTTGCATTTCTTGTTTTGATTTTCAAGGAGACAAGTCTAACGCTTAATTCCTTCGATCCTTGTCAACTACAAAATAAACTTTAATTACCGAGCGTACATTTGTATCTTAGCCTCCCACTGTGCTTTTCGGTTCCCTATCAAGTATAATTACTGAGCGCTCACCTGGTCAAGTACAAAAATGTAATGCAACAACTGTCAACTTGCTCGATTACACCCATACCTTCCACTTTCGGTCTTTAGTAAAGATCTCAGTTCTAGCAATATCAGCTCGGTTCCACGTCAAGGCCAAATCAAGCTGGTATGAAGGCAAAGCAATTTGCGCTGCAAATGCAAACGTGGCGATAAGCGGCGCTGCGGATTTTATAACTTGTTCTCCTTTGTTATGTATTTAAATAACAACACATCAGTCTACACTTCATCAGAATACGTTGCATCTAAGATGATTATAGACAACAGCATTTAATGCCATTGGTATTACCGTATATCTGAAAATGGAATAGCCTGCCCACTGCCATACACTGTAAATAACTGCTTAAAAAAGTGCTTTCAAACCTTTCAAAATAGCTTTTAAAATCGACCTGTCGATGTCGATACCATCGTCGTCCATATGGCATATTGTGATCTGTAGGAAGGACGTTGAACAGCTTATTAAACAAGTGGGACTTCTTCTTTTTATACTTTTCTCTCAAACGTCAACTTTCTCTGAAAAAGCTTAATAACCGTAACACAAATCTGGGCTGAAATACCGAGCACAAATCATTACATTTGTATGAGATGTACAAAAAAGGCAAAAAAAAAAATTGAATTGCTCGTTTTCTCAACTTACATACTGACTTTTCTTCACACATTTAAGTACGTCGGAGTAACACTTAAACCATTCCGTTTCAGAGAGACCAGGGAAGGCTTTTTTAATTCTCATTTCAAGTATTTCGTGCTCTGCAACCTGACGAAAGTGCTTCATATCAAACCTGTCAACATAGCAAAACCATGTAAAGTGTTAAAATGTGTTTTGCCTTTTTGCAAGAGCTTTTAGATGATTCCTCCTTCAAAGAAACTCATAGTGTTAAGATTCTGAAAACATGATTGCCACCAAATCTTTAGTGGCATGATTTCAAGGTATATCCCAGCTTAAGAAAAATTTTGATAACACAAAAATTTGGTTTGAGTAAATGTAAAGTCCAACAATGACCGGTTAACGCAACTGCCATACCTTCTAGACATAAAAAAAAAACATTATGAGAACGAATACCAACCCTTCATATTCAATAAACAGTGAGTAAGCATAAGCTAAAACATCAGCAGCTCTGCCGCTACCATCCGCAATGACGACAGGCACGGCAGGAGTGCTTGTAACTGACTCTAACACCGTGCGAATAGTGTTCAGACCTCCCTCAAGGACAAGCAATACCACAGGAATACCATTTGGCCTGTCGTTCTGAGAATTTTCATGTAAATAGTTGTATCCTGCAGTTTTAAAAAGAAAAAGGATGTATTTATTCTTCTAAAAAAGGGAAAATAAAAAAAAAAGTGGTAATGGTAGTAGTAGTAGTCGCTAACTTCAGGCCTTTCCCCCTTCCTTCTGCAAAATTCGCGTATCATTGGGGCAGCTCTTCCAAATGCAGCTCCATCTTATTAGTTATCCATCAGCANAGCTTAAGAAAAATTTTGATAACACAAAAATTTGGTTTGAGTAAATGTAAAGTCCAACAATGACCGGTTAACGCAACTGCCATACCTTCTAGACATAAAAAAAAAACATTATGAGAACGAATACCAACCCTTCATATTCAATAAACAGTGAGTAAGCATAAGCTAAAACATCAGCAGCTCTGCCGCTACCATCCGCAATGACGACAGGCACGGCAGGAGTGCTTGTAACTGACTCTAACACCGTGCGAATAGTGTTCAGACCTCCCTCAAGGACAAGCAATACCACAGGAATACCATTTGGCCTGTCGTTCTGAGAATTTTCATGTAAATAGTTGTATCCTGCAGTTTTAAAAAGAAAAAGGATGTATTTATTCTTCTAAAAAAGGGAAAATAAAAAAAAAAGTGGTAATGGTAGTAGTAGTAGTCGCTAACTTCAGGCCTTTCCCCCTTCCTTCTGCAAAATTCGCGTATCATTGGGGCAGCTCTTCCAAATGCAGCTCCATCTTATTAGTTATCCATCAGCAACGTAGACGTTTACAACAATGTATTCACAATCCCTGTAATATGAGAGGAAGGAAACCATCTCGGCAGCTGGCAACAAGTAACGTGGGCCTTTGCAGCATACACGAATTCTTGACAGACGTTTGAAAGAGGGATTGAGTCTCGTTCTCATTGAGGGGGCGAAAGTTAAAAACAATAACCCCAAAATGAATCTCAAATTCATGTACGCGGTAGAAGCTCCCAATTGCTTTCATGGGCTTGTGAGAGAGCAATATATTGAACTAAAGGAAAACGACCACCAGGCATTATATAAAACCTATCCAAACGACTGTTTCGGGGTGACGTTCCACTTCGATTACGTTAAAGACTATTAGAAAAAAACTGAACCATTTAGATAATTACTTTTGGAAATCTCTTTATTTGCCAAGTAGTTTTGAAACCTTGCACGGAATTCGATCTCTCCTCCGTATTCTCCTTCAGTGCCATCGTCCACAAGCAAGAAGTGTGAATGATTGTTGTCGATACACGATCCCTGGATCTCTAAACTTTGCGTCATGTGATATGTAACAAAATCCTGTGTATAAAAAGATAATGAGTGTACTGTCAGCTCTCTGTTGACCCACCACTTTTGCTTCTGGAGAAAGTGTTCCCTGACGGGAGATGGTCACTTGCCAGAAAAAGCAAGAAAACGCGCCACAAGCGATATGAATCCACTAATTATATTTGTTATATAGCTGGAAATTTTTTTCCCAACAGCGCACGCTCTCATTGGCTACTTCGAGGTCACATGACATCTAACAATGAAACTGTTACTCGCCAAAATCTATTAAGTCAGTGGCTAACAGTGCACTGTTACCTGCGATTGTCGACCGCTGTTACAGCGATGATTTCCTGTGCTTCAAAATTACCTGCTGTATGACAAATCACTTAAAGACTTGCCCCTCGGGAAACAGTTAATTTTGTTTCCCTCGAATCTCAATGTTTCCCGAGGCGGATACTGGGGAAAGAAAATTAACTGTTTCTCTCGGACCAGTCATTAAGAGTTTATTATCTACTGCTTTATAAACTGAGCAGCCACTGGTTATTAACTACTTGAGTTGAACAGTCCGGAATATCCCTAAATTTAAGGAGAGGGCCAACTGGTCACGCGACACTTTTCAACCAAGGAGAAGGCGCGCTTGTGTTTATCAACAAACAAATCAAAACATCGCCTCAGTGATCAAAAATTTTCAAAACAGCGGACGGAGTCTGACAGAATTAAAGATGAGATTACGGTACTCGTCTAGGTTTAACATTTAATATTTCAAAGAAAACATTTCATGTAAGAGAATAAGAGCATTAATCATTGCAACGAATCATTGGGGTGTTCGAACTCAAAATCCCGACCGATCGCAGAGGTCGTGGCTTCACTGGCATGGCTTGCAAGATTTTTGATAGAAGCAATCTGGTCCCGTGTAAAAATTGCATTAGAGAGAGTGTGAAAATTTGTTGAGATCGTACAAAACAGGATTGGTACTACCTATTAACTTCTACAGGACAAGAATCAAAGAACCAGTCATCATAACAAGAGTAAACAGTGGTTCAAATTTATTAATTTTTCTTGTTTGTTTTTTTGTGTTGTTTCGTGTTTACTTCACGCATCTAGTGCTTTCTTTGCTTGCTGTAGTACCTGCAATGTTTTAATTTTATCCCAGATAATCAGTGCATGTTCAATGAGTAGCAGAATACATCATTTACACTTGAAATTTGCCTTCTTTCTTTGATTGTTTTTTAACGGTGGGTGGATGAACATTTGGAGAATCCAACAACATTAAATCTTTCCAGGTTTTGGTGAATTTCAGAAACAAAGCGGTTAGTATGTACGTTGCGCTTATGATCTTCAATTTCATCCCCGCAAATTCGGCAAAGTGAGGCGAGATGTTGGACGTGATTCTCCATAAGACATAATAAAGTCGTTTTGGCCTTGAAAATAAAAAAGGCAAAGGCTCTTACTAATGCGAAAAAAAGTAATTACACGGCTCTGTGAGGAACCCGGGAGTGGAAAACAGCTGAAAACGTATGTGTTTTGGACCTCGGAATTCAAAAATTGTCTACCAAAATTTTAGTTTGTCTACCATCTCCACATTCAACATGATAAAAGTTAATCGATATGACAATCGAGGAAAAATATCTAGAACTTCGTAAAAAATCTGTCAATCGAAAAAGTAATAGATACTTGTTCAGCTACCTTGAAAACCGACCAAAATCTCGCCCATACATCGCGTTGTTTAAAAGAAATAAGCCACAAAATGTGCTGAATATTTCACAAGACACTTCCAATATGGCTTCCGATACGCTGTCCACTTAAACAAATTGTGTATGTCTCATGAAAAGTCTTAAAAATTTTAAAATATGCCTGAGAGCCTCGAAACGATGACTGATTATGTCCGACTCCGTCCGCTGTTTTGAAAATTTTTGATCACTGGGGCGATGTTTTGATTTCTTTGTTGATAAACACAAGTACGCCTTCTCATTAGTTGAAAAGTGTCGCGTGACCAGTTGGCCCTGTCCTTAAATTTAGGGATATTCCGGACTGTTGAAGGAAATGTATCAAGCTCTCTTAAGAGAATTGGAAACATATAAATCGGGCATAACATACTAGTTGCTTATTTATTATTGGCTTGAATCTGCGAGTTTTGTTCTTGTAGGTGTTCACTAATTTTGATAAACAATGTCACACTAATTTGTACTATAATTACAATTACAGTTTTATGTATCTAAGTGAAAAACAGGATTCCCTCCAGAAAACAGGGAAACCGTTTGCTTATGAAATTTGGAGAGTAGAAAGTTAGAACAATAGTAGAGCAATTTCAAGGGAATTACCCCTTGAAATTGTTCTACTATCAACATTTTTTGAAACTTGGCATAATCAACGTTCATGACATATGAAGAGTAAAAAAATGCAATAAAAATATGGAGTCACCGTGCTTGTTTACGTGTCAGCAGGCTCTTAAACTGGGGTATTTTTATCAGTTGCGCGTTAAAAATTCAAATCTCCTTCATACAGAATTAAGTCTTTGTTACCTGAAACGCACGAAATTTTATCTTAAAAGTAAAGCTTGTTTTTTTCAAATAAGCGGGATTGCTTCATTTAAGCCGTTTTTATTGCCTGGTTGTGGAGATATTGCACTTTTTCTGGAAAGTTCCGTGGTTAGCTTGAAGTCCTCGCCTTGGCCCAAATACACCAAGTACGGAACTATTTTCCCCAAAAAAGTCATGTTCTACAATCAAACTTTTTTTCTTTTTCAAACATGTTCTTTATTAGACTGTGTTCTTAGCAAATAACTGAAAAGAAAGTCGGAGGTCAAGGTGCTTGTTTCCTCACAAACTGCCGTAAAAGGTGGACTTGGTTTTGAGATCGCAGTCAGGATAGAGAATTCGCGCGGCGGGGACTGGGACGAGATACAAAATAGCGCCCATCGTGTTCGAAGTATGCACTCGAGATCAAGATTGTTTTCGATTATTTTTATGGGTTCGATATCGCCAACACAGAAAGAGTACAAATACCAAGGAATGAGGTAAATTAAGATTTGATGAGATTTTAGAGTTATGAATCTTCATTTTGGACTATTTTGTAGCGCTGGTGTTCTGTGTTCCAGTGAGCTAGGGTCCGTTTTGTTTTTTCTTTTACGCAATAATCCTGAAGAAAAGACAATTGATTCCTATTCTTCATAAGTTCTCTTGTTTGGTTTCTATATATAGCAAAATGTAAATTCAGCAGCAAACTTGGCCAGTTTTCATCAAAAACGCTTGGTTCCGGTGCTGCCAGTGGGTCCTATTTGTTCTACAAACATATTCGTCTCTCCACTCTCGGAGGTTGAACAACATATGTACAGTAGCGATCCTAGGCCAGACACTGTCTCGTTAATGCAATTGGAGAGCCGTGTAGCTGCTCCACAGGCTTCACAGCCCCCATCCAAAGCCTCAGCCAGGATATTTATACTTTAATTCCACAACTCGACGGCCGCGAAGTGAAAAGCCACTGCAGACTTCGGGATCACGCACATTTTTTTGATTTTCTTGTTTTTCGATAGCAGACCAGGAAGCTGTCAGCCGATCTGCAGCATTATTATTGCGAATAGAAGTTTAAGCTCTGCAAATGCGGTTCCTGTTTGTTCTTTTTGCGCTAGCGGGAAGAACCGCCGCCATGTTGGAAGTTGCAATATTACACGCAGTAGTGTGTGCCCAGTGCCAAACAAGGGAATTACCTTAAACGGTATTTGACTGCGAGAGAATGAGGTTATTTGCAAAGTGGTCGCCTTCGGATAGTCGTATGCAGTATTCTTGTCAACCATGTGGATAGTTTCGAGGCAAGAGCGTCTGATTGGCCATTTTGAAGTGGGGACTTGAGCCCTTATGGTTGGTTTTCTCCCGAATTGCATTGTGGGACTGTTTTGAGGAAGCTATCCACTTTTATTTGGGAGTTAAGATGTGACGGCTGCCACGGCAACGAGAACGTCAAAACGCAATGGGTTTATCAACAACTCTGCAATTGCCAACTCGATTGCAAGGCACTCTTTTTCTTGTGTAATTCCTTGAACCAAACGCTACTGGCTGACAGGTCTATGGAAGAGCTGGGCCTAATCCTCTTTCACTGGCACTACACTGGAAGATGACATCTTCATTGCAATTAGTACTTGAGTATGGGGTGGTTGACTACAAGCCTCTTTTAAAGCAAAATTAAATTTTCTGGAAAGCTGCTTTATGCCATTAAGACCATGTGAACTTGTCGTTTAAGGTTATTAAGTCTTAGAGGCTGTGCTATACTTATGCAAGTCTAGGAAACTATGAGAGTTAATTGATGAAACCAAGGAGAATTAGGGCTTCCTGCTTGCACTTTGGCTGGGGCATTTCCTCTACAACTTTCACGTTATCAGGATCTGGTTTTAGGACTGCCTGCTCTTCCTTTTCGCCAAATCCCATAACTATGATGTTGTGTCTGAACTTTTCTCTTGTAGATTACTTTCTAAATTATTCTGGAGCAAGGCTTCCAAAGGGCAAGCGGAGAAAATGGAAATCCAAAACTTTGTTAATTTGCTGATGGCTTCGTAGAGACTGATTTGGTAAAAGCCATCTTTCTCGTTTTGCGTTCTGAAAATTCTGTCTTTGGACAGCTTACAATAGGTAACAGTTCCTCAAGTGTAGGAATTAAGTATTTAGGACGCTGAATTACCTTGTTCAGTTCTTGAGGGTCTAAGCATATTCGGATTTTACCGGGCTTGGTTGCCACTACCACATTGCTGATCCATTCTATACTTTTGGGTTTCTTTCTAGATCTGTAAGCTTTGCTTTCATTCATTCTTTAGGGCTACGTCTAGAGGTTTGCCGTGCTAGAACTGTTAAGAGATCAAGTACAAAGCTGAACCTGAACCGATATGTCCAAGACCTTTGAAGACATCGCCAATAATCTTTCAGCCGTATACTTTAAACTGTCAAGAGAGTTGTTTTGTCATACAAGACAAGAACTTTAGCCTGAGATGGTAACTTGAGAAGTTTGAACTTTTGAAAGGTTTCTGCAGACAGTAAAGTCTTATTTCTTTCGCTAGAGACTTGAAACTTGGGAAAATGCGAACTTCCACCATGTGAGACTTGCAGAAGGACTTCGTCAACAGGCTTCAGGCAGCCGTGAAATAACTTAAACTAGGTTTTGCCTTTTTCCATGAGAGGGTTGCCTTCTTGCTTGATAATCGATAAGTCTCTATATCAGACTGCGCGTCTGTTCAGTAATAGATCACAGATGACGTCAAAATGTAGTAAAAACAAAGTGGCGGCGAGTGTGTAACTGATGTTTTTACCACATTTTTACGTCCTCTGTGATCTATTACTGAACAGACCAATGGCAACATGGAATCTATTTGTTTTATACAACGATCAGAAAAGAAAATAGACCGATACACATACCTGCCTCGTACCGCTTGACTGTTCGAGGATTTGTGCTAGTTTAGGCCTTTTTTAAGTCCCAAGCGCTACTTTTCGTCCCTTCTTCTTCTTTTTTTCTTTATCTTACTTGTATACAGTTTCTTCGAGAAGTTCAGTTTTCAACTTCTTTTCTTGCTCAAAGCAGAACAATGGCGAAAACATTTTGCAAAACAGCGAGTCCCTCGTAGCGATGACACATGATGGCAGGTGTTGTGAAGATTTCTTGTAGTTTTGGGGATTCTTAAGTACTCAAGAGCGCCTTTTGTCCCCGTTTCTCCATTTGTCTTCTTTGTAAATAGCTCCTGCTCAATTTTTTTTCGAGGCTTTCACTTGCTTTAATCCTAAATAATCTCACAAACATTTTCAAAACCGCGTCCCCATGTTGAACAAAACAAACAAAACAAGTTTCCCGTGATGTCATCTTAGACTATGTATCTGTACTCTGATAGATCATAGGCAACGACCTATAACAGCGCGCGTAGCATTCACATCATTATATACATTATATACAGGTCGCACCTGTGTCGACTAGCTGACATTGAAACATGACAAACATGGTTTCCAGGTTATTGTGTTCACAAAAGAAGCTGAGCCTGCAAACAATCGATAACCACAGGACTCTACATACGAAGTGAGAGTCTGAGAAACTGAGCTATCGTGGCTTTCTCGTAAGTGTTTAACGCGGGTACCTCACCTTTCTTCTTGGCCATACACACGCTTCAAAGTGATGCCATTTGTGACCGTATTTTCGGTTGAATAGCGAGATTCGTTTCGTTTGTGTTGGGTACCACAATTTTTGTACCTCTCATTGCCAGTCGTCTTAATTCTGGTAGGGAAACGTTTCTCTCCTTGTTTGTTTTTGCTGCCATTTGGCTGCTTCTTGGAATCCTTGGCTTTGACATAGCTGCCAACTGACTCTCGTTTGCTTTGCCCATAAAGTTAAAGACATACCGTTCCCAAGAAAAGGTTGCGTTAAAGTTTGAAATAGTTTTCCAACGCGGTCATGCATGCTTGCACTTTAGCTTAGACTAGCTAGCTTCAATTTATGTTTTTACTTTCCCACTTGTTCCTTTTATTACCATTATTTATTTATTTACCTATTTTTCTTTTCCTTTCACAGGGCCTCTCAGAATCTCACTATTGTAAAGTGTGTTTCCTATTTAAAGATTTGTTGTCATTCCACGTTCAAGAGACAGGCGAAAATAATATCTTCCTCGTGTGCGCTACTAAGTGACTTTCAAAATGCTTCTTACCTTTTTAATCAACTCAGACCTGTGCTCCACAATGCCCCATGGAGCGATTCCGATCAAGTGCACCTGAGACGTTTTATCTGTGAGCATTGCCCCTCGTGACATTACAGTATGACCCTTTACTGCTTTTCCTACGTGTTTCATTACGCCAGTGTTTGTTCCCCCTGTTATTATCCATGCACCAGTGGTCTTGGCTGCCTGTGCAAAAAATTTTGAAGAGAGGTTAACAGTTTAAGAAGTTATTATGGATGCAGCCTTTCTACGCTTATTTTTCGTTACTTCGAGTACGTGTGTTCGAAGTCACGAACTTTTTCAAAACCTTCAATTCGTTCTTTCTAACATTAAACAAGAGACCATCAGGGGGTACCCTTTCATGGTGTCTTGTGATGATAAAGGCAGACTAATCCTTTCAGGTGCTAAGGAAAGGGACCTTGGGTAGTCATGGAGTGAATCACGTGTATAATGGGCTGCTGTCGATAAGTTTCGAAAAGCGTCATAATCTATCCGGGCTTTGCACATGAAAGATTTTCAGAGTATTCCCTAAATAATCTTGGACTTGTTCAATTTTTATAGCATCGTTTTAAAGGCTAAAATCTCATTAGGCTGAGGACAAAGGCACCAAGGCTCCATGCACTTTAAAAGGCTCGGGATGTTCACATGACTTTAAAGGAGTTGTGTCACGAAATTAAGCCAAATTAGGAAATTACAAAACGCCCGTTAAATTAAGAGAAACATAAAAATAACTGCTTAAAACTTTAAAGGACGGTTGAAATAACATAACAGAAACAACAGATGTCACGGACGGGCAAAACTGAAGAAGATTGAGACGGATTGAAATTAGGGTTTTTGAAAACTGCTCAGCCTAACAGTGTTTCAAAGTTGATCCCTGCTGCTTGCAACTTCAAAAATAATGTTCAGGAGACATATTTGTTTGTCTCGGATCTCTGATTTTGTCATATACCTGTAATTTCTTTACTTTCTTTAATTTCCATAGCGATTGAGGGCGAGTAATTGGCAAAATTAAACAAAATGAACTCGACTGCCGTGACACAGCCCCTTTAATAATGATGTTTTTCAGTTTCATCTACAACCTCTTTGTGCTACAGTCGAACCTCCATGTGCGACCACCTCGCGCGACGTAAGTGCCCACCTCCCATAAGCGACCATCTATTCAAAACACCGAAGTTTCCGCTGCGTGAAAGCTCTCTAGTTAGAACTTTCGTAAGCGATCACCTCCTATAAGCCACTTCGACCACTTTTTGGCCTGACGGTCTTATAGTTTTCCATTGTTTTTCACCTCTTGTAAGCGACCACTTGGTGAATGTCGCGGCGTTTTTTTGTCCACTGTATGTACTACGCCACCCAGGGTACACGAAGAACTTTCTGTGACAACTTTGAAAAGTAAATTGTTTGCAATAAATTCTCTGCCTTTTTCATAAGAGACCAAGAAATCCTCTTATTTTGAATAGTTGCTCGGGGAGGTTTAGCCTGTTCCAGGCTCCGAGGTAGTTGGGTCCAAGAAATTGAGAAAGCGCAAACACAAAAATAAAACGGGAGGAAAGTTGGGAGAAGAAGGTCGTCTCCCTTCCTCTCACTCCATTTCTTTTTCCGCTACCGCTGCCTTTTCCCAGATCACGCGCTCACAATTTCGCTTGCCTTTTACTTACGCTTCATCCCCACCAACGGAGAGCCTGGAAAAGGCTAGGA